CGCGCACCCGGCCACCCGCGCCCCGAGCCGGCGGGTCGTGGTGCTCCGGCTCCTGCTCGTGTCCTTGCCCCTAGACCGCAGCCAGGGTTCTTGGGCGCGTCCTATCCCCGAGGCGGACGCCTAGGTGTCCCCCGCTTGGCGCTGGGAACTGCCGAGGATCTAGCACAGTTACTTCCCTTGTGCGTAAAATCTGATTCGTGGCCAAAGCAGTCCAGGTCCGGGGAGAGAAAGGACACCCTCCGGAATGCAGCCCTCTAGCGCCATGGGGGTCTGCCAGTGGGCATCTTGGCACACAGTGGGCCTCATGCGACTGCAGCTATTTCCAGTGCCGACACTGAGCGCCCGTTAGACGCGAGGCGTGGGGGGGGCACTGACAATTCTTTAGTGAATGAAATTGATGGGTTACAGTGGTTGGTTCACCTGCACATTTAGCACTCCTGACCCTGCTAGTGTCCAGGGTCGCGCCTCAGCTCTCCATCAAGAGTACTAGAATTGTAGGTAACGCCTTATCTGGATGCCAATCTGTGCTTTCTTAGGTAGAACTTCCTTGATCACCTGCCCGGATTATCTGCTAACTCCCCCCCACCCATTAAGAAATCTCGTTCTGTTGACTCCGCCAGTTAGAGGTAGCGCTGGCGTTTTATTAGGCACATAATCTCGGTTCCTAGCCTCTTGACTGAGTTAGAGAGCCACCTCGTATCAAGTGCTCCAGGCTACTAGGGAGCTCCGGAACATCCTATCACCTCGGCTGAGGAGGTGCTAGGGTAGGAGGACGTAGGCCTTGGCTTAAAGTGGCGAAAGTCCCCGCCGTTACTTTCCGGAAGGGAGGCTATTCCTCCCTAAAGCACTTGGCTAGCAGGGGGGGAGAGGAAGACGGTGGGGCGGGAGGGAGGGAAGGGCTTGCCTCCAGGGGCGGGCTGGGTTGTATTTGGTTATGAATTGAGATTTAAGACTGGAGCTGGATTCCGCTGGGGAGACTTCTTTAAAGGCTTTGCTAAATAGTGCTAAATTCAAAGCCAGGTGGCGCCAGGCAATTCTGGGCTAGGTGGAGTTAAGTGGGAGGGTACAGTTTGCCCCAGGCTGGTAGATGGCCCTTGGGAAAATTCTGGGGTAGTGTCCCACTTGCATATTTATCACCAGATTAGAAAGACAATTGTGATGTTGTTTGGGGAGCTGCAGAAGCCCGTTACTCCGTCTGGCTCCTCTTCCTCCCCCCAACCTCTCCCCTAGTCCACAACCCTCCCCCCCATCCCTCTAGAGAGAGATTGGAACAATCCCTTCACCAACATTTTGGGAGATCTCTTTCCTGTCCCAGGAAACAGCGAGCACCATTGGAACCTTGGATTAAAAGGAATAAATAAACCTGTGTGCTGGGGTGGGGGTGGGGAAGGGAGAGGATTTGGTATTGCTTGCTTTTGGACCCTTAGCAAGCAGCCTTCATTCCCTTCTTTCCCAGGAAGCTTTTATTTACTGACCCCATTCAGGTTCCCATGTCCCCCAAATGGAGACATCTTAGTACCAATATACTCCAAACCTTAGCTGCGGTGTTGGCCGGTTTTCAAACGGCCATTTTCAAATAATTAATCTTAACACATGGCTTAACCCTGAACTTCTTTACAAGGCATGTTGAACTCATAGAATTTCTCCAAGAAAAGTTAGTTATTTTTGTTGGTTGGTTGGTTGGTTTTGATGCTAGTTCTTTTTTGGTGGTTAATTGAAGATAAGCATTTTCCTGATTTGTGTGTTCTAGATGGCTTTAAACCACTATCCTTGGATCTCAGACTTCTGAGTAGGTAATATTACAGGCATGAGACATTGGTGCCCAGCAAGAATTAGTTTCTTAACATTATATTAGAAAAACCACCAACTCCGAGTTGTGAGCCTTCTAACTATCCTTCTAGCCTTATTCTTTGCTTTAATAACTCAAAGACTGGGCAGTGGACTCTTAGGACCAGAAAGGAAAGACAGATTTGAGACGTGTGTGTCCTGCAGAGAGAGAGAAACCATCTATGTATGGGGTGCCTACTGTGTGCAAGGCAGCAGCGTGATTAAAAAAAAAAAGGGGGCTGGGAAGGTGGCTCAGTGGTAGAGCACTTTGCAATGCATGAGGCCCTGGGTTTGATTCCCCAGCACCACATAAGCAAAAAGAAAAAAGCCGGAAGTGGCGCTGTGGCTCAAGTGGTAGAGAGCTAGCCTTGAGCTGAAGAGCTGAGGGACAGCGCCCAGGCCCAGAGTTCAGGCCCCACGACCGGACCCCAAAAAAAAAAAAAAAAAGAGCCTTCTATTCTGGTGTTTCTTCCAGAGTCCTCTAACCAGTAGTAGTTAAGCATCTAAACTCTGGGTTTCTCAGTTTGAGCTGTGACCTTGAGCAAATCATTCACCCTCTGGGCCTCTTATCTGTAAAATGGAGATAATAATGGTTTTACTTTGTAGATAAGTAGAGGATAAATGAGTTGGGGGAAATTTTTTTTTTTTGGGTCCGGTCATGGGGCCTGAACTATGGGCCTGGGTGCTGTCCTTCAGCTCTTCAGCTCAACGCTAGTGCTCTACCACTTGAGCCATAGCACCGCTTCCAGCTTTTTTCTTTTTGCTTATGTGGTGCTGAGGAATCAAACCCAGGGCCTCATGCATGCAAGGTAAGCACTTTACCACTGAGTCACCTTCCCAGCCCTGGAAAAAAAATTTTTTAATTGAAAAAATGAGTTAATGGGGGGCTGGGAAGGTGGCTTAGTGGTAGAGCGCTTGCCTTGCATGTCTGAGGCCCTGGGTTCAATTCCTCAGCACCACACAAGAAAAAAGCCAGAAGTGGCGCTGTGGCTCAAGTGGTAGAGTGCTAGCCTTGAGCCGAAGAGCTGAGGGACAGTGCCCAGGCCCAGAGTTCAGGCCCCACAACTGGACCTAAAAAAAAAAAAGCACTCAAAGAAAAAATGAGTTAATGGTAGGACATGGTATGTGCCCCTTAACTAGATATTATTTATGTGAATGAGGAGATGCAAATAATGCTAATACTATTATAGGAGACAGAGTACCAAACCAGAAGATTTTTTTTTTTTTTTTTGCCAGACCTGGGTTGAACTCAGGGTCTGGGCACTGTCCCTGAGCTACTTTTGCTCAAGGCTAGCACTCTACAACTTAAGCCACAGTGCCACTTCCGGCTTTTTCTGTTTATGTGGTACTGAGGAATCAAACTCAGGGCTTCATGCATGGTAGACAAGCACTTTACATCTGAGCCATACTCCCAGCATGCAGAAAATTTCTTGATATGAATTTGCAAGCTGTGGAAGTGGGGTGAGTATGGACAGGCTTTCGAGTGGTGTGAGCTGAGTCCTACAGTTAGAGGAAGGATTGGAGCCAGAGTCTTTTTTTTTTAGTTTTTGGTCAGTCATGGGGCTTGAACTCTGGGCCTGGGCACTGTCCCTCAGCTGTTCAGCTCAAAGCTAGCACTCTACCACTTGAGCCACAGCACTACTTCCAGTTTTCTGGAGGTTTCTTGGAGATAAGAGTTTCATGGCTTTTCTTGTCTGGGCTGGCTTTGAACCTGGATCCTCAGATCTCAGCCTCCTGAGTAGCTAGGATTACAGGCGTGAGCCACTGGTGCTCGGCCAGGCCAGAGTTGGAGGACAAGGTGATGTGGTCAAGGGGCCAAGCCGAGAAATGCAAGTGCTCTTACATAGGCAGAAGAACAGCTCTGGAAGGTTTTTAAGATGAGGACCATCTTACCGGTTGTGATCATAGATAAGTTATCTCCTCAAAACCTCAGTTCACTGACCTATAAAATGGGGCCATAATTGAATCAGTCTCAGGGGAGTTGTGTAGCTTAAGCAAGATAATGGATGCAAAATGTGCCTTCTTCAGAAGTTGTCAGGCAGGAAGTCAGCTGACAGTTACTTACAGCGTTTTTGTAATGTCCAACATTGTGCTGCCTACATACAGTAGGGACCTGGGATTGGCCCAGCTGATTGTGTTGATGTGGGGACTGGATCTGGAAAGAATCCCAGCCTAGCTGCCTCTTGATTGTGGGCCTGGGGGCAGGTTGTGAAATTCTCTTTACCTCATAGTTACCTATGAGATACCTACAAGGGTTCTATAATTTCAGAACAGGTAGTGGTAGGGTGACAACCCCACACATCCATCTTAGATACAGGTGGGTCCTGGGATATACCCATCACCTTTATCCTTTAAAGTCTTATCAAAACAAAGTTTGGAGTTAACCTGACTGATACCATTCATTCCTGAGTCAGTGTGGCTGGTAGGACCCTGGTACTGGTAGGGACTGCAAGTGAATATATCCTCTTTCCTCATCCTGTTCTGCCTTTCTTTGCTTCTCCCATGGTTTGTTCTCAGCCTTTATCCTTCAGTGAAGACAGATGTGTGAACTTTTCTCACCCAACAGTCCCCTCCTTTTTTTTTCTCCTGGTACTGGGGCTTAAATTCAGGGCTTTATGCTATTGCTTAGATTTTTTGTTTTTGTTTTTTGTCAGTCATGGGGGCTTGGGTGCTATCCCTGAGCTCTTCAGCTCAAGGCTAGCACTCTACTACCTGAGCCACAGCACCACTTCTGGTTTTCTAGTGGTTTATTGGAGTTAAGAGTCTCACGGACTTTACTGCCAGCGCTGGCTTTGAACCATGATCCTCAGATCTCAGCCTCCTGAGTAGCTAGAATTACAAGTGTAAGTCTTTGGCACCCCTGGCTTCCCTATCACTTTTAACTATGGAGAATTTCAAAGGCAAGAGTAGTATGCTATATGTCTATCACCCATAGCTAGGCCTGCCCACACCTTTTTCACTCTCTCCCCCATGTGACTTTGAGGCCCATCTTAGATAGACCTCATACTGAAGTTATGTATCTCATAACCACAGACCAC